AAAAAAAAAAAAAAAAAAACATAGAAAACTCTCCTTAAAAAGTAGAGTTGTTAGGTGAGGTTTGCTTTCAGGGTGTGTTTATGCGTTTGGCATACATATTTTCAAATATTTTTTTTCCAAAAGTTGCACCTCAAAATTGACATAATTCGGCTCAAGATTTTAAGATTACATACATGAAAATCAGAACCAATTACAATAAATTATAAATTGATTGTAATAGGTTATTTTGAAAAAAATATATAGTTGTTTTTTTAATAATTTATGATTATTTTATTTCAAAACGATACTTTGCCTTTTTTTAATAATAATAATAATAATAATAACAATAAAAAAGCTTCTAGTTCTTTTAATTACTTACAAAGCAATATAAGTGATTACCTCTATATATTCATTGAATATTTATTTGTGGATGAAAACGTAGACCAAATGGCTTGATTTCTAAAGAAAAACAATAATATGAAACAAATGTAAACCAAGCAGGCCTTATACCTCTAGGCTTGAGAACTTTTGATTTGATTATTATTATTGTTATTATTTTGAATTTGTTACAATTTTAGAGAGGATAGATGTGATTCAAACGTGAGTTTCAAGACTTTGAGGTGCATTCTACACAACCATTTGGGTTGAATTATATATTTACAATTAGATGCTAATATGTTACTCAAATAAAATCTAAATAATATTAAAAAATCTAATTTTAATTATATAATTTTTTATATTAATCTTTTAACGTATAAAAATTACATTAAATTATAATTAATTTAAAATTAAATTACATCAAACTTTATAAAAAAATTATATTATATTTTATACTTATATAATTTTATAACTGATATATATATTTTTGAACATTTTAATATGAGACAAATTTAAAACCCACCTAAAGAAAAAGAAAATACACATGTTCAATGATTAATACTAATAGACCTCTATAACTAGATGCTTATAACTAATATTAATCATATATTTTTTAAAATATTGAAAATAAAACTCAAATTTTACATTTAACAAAACTTAATATAAAAAATTATTTATATAAAAAGAAAAAGACCACTAACTCACCACAACGTTCTCGATATTACGCATCACTTCTTAATTTTCCAAATTCTGTAAAGATAATCACCAAAACAGTAACGAAAAAAACAAAAAATTGAATTCCCCTTATGCGGTGGGTGTAGAAGTAATGATGTCTGCGATACAAGTAATGAAGTCCCGCGCACGAAAAGCAACCCCAAAGTCGAAAGCTACCACAAATCCAGATTCTCATAATGCGGTCCACGTGCCGCTCTCTCAACCACAAGATCTCAATTGTGGTGTCCGGTTGCAGACGTGGCACTTCCTTCAAAAATATCTTCCCCTCAAAATCCGAAACCAACCCAACACGTGTCCCTTGTCTGGACCCCACATCGTGGACAATCTCGACCACACCATCGGACTACCGCCCCACACCCAAAAAAAAATCAAAAACAGTGGCACTAAACGAGCCACGTCGGCTTCGCCAACCAGAAGCCAATGCCGGCCCCCATTTTGATTTGACCAAATTTTTTTAAAAAAGAAAGGATGTTTATTTCTTTTTATTTTATAGAGTCGGGGAAGATATTTTCTACGGTTTTCGCGGCTGTGAGCGAAAGTTGGATATCAAAATTTGAGGCGGTTTTTGGTTCTCACTGCGGTCTCTTTAAAAATTCTCAAAAAAGGCGTACTCAGATATTTTCAAGTTTGCTTAAGGATGAGGTTAATTGGATAATTTCTCCACATATAATCCTCCTTGACTACTCGCTGCTGCTGATTTCACTTTTGTTTACCAGAGATTGTGTGTTTTTGTTTTTTTGTTATCTTTGATTTTGTGTTGTTTTTAGGGTGTTTGAGAATGGGTGAGGTTGGAACGGAGATGGAGTTGGTAATGGTGGAGGAGGAGGAGGAGGAGAAAATGGATGGATCGTCGGAGGTGGTACGGTGGGAGCGGTTCCTTCCTAGGATGGTGCTCAGGGTTCTCTTGGTTGAAGCGGATGACTCCACTCGTCAGATTATCACCGCACTTCTTCGAAAATGCAGTTACAAAGGTCTCTTCTCTGATCTTAGTTGCTTTCCGTTTTATTTTGTGAATCTGATGATCATAATGGTAGGATGCAGAGATGTTATGAATATTAAATTTATTTTTGTGCTTTCAATTCTGTTTATAACCGAAACTCGATGTGATGGACATTAAGAAGCACATACTTAAAAATGGCTGCTGTGAGATGTTCAGTTGTTAGTAATCATCAAATTGACTGTGTGTATGTCTGTTTTGGTGGAGCAGTTGCTGCTGTTCCTGATGGATTAATGGCATGGGAGACTTTGAAGGGTCGGCCACATAACATAGATCTCATACTGACTGAAGTGGAGTTGCCTTCTATATCTGGATTTGCGCTTCTTACATTGGTCATGGAGCATGATATTTGCAAAAATATTCCTGTTATAAGTATGCTGTGCTGTCTCAAGTGATGTTCTGTTGTCTCTATGGTCTTTGATATGATAGGAAGCTAAACATTTTTGGGTTTCTTTTTGTTTTTCTGCAGTGATGTCGTCGCAGTATTCGATTAGTATGGTCTTAAAATGCATGTTAAAAGGTGCAGCTGACTTTCTCATAAAGCCTGTTCGTAGGAATGAGCTGAGGAATCTCTGGCAGCACGTTTGGAGAAGACATATGGTGTGTTCGATTTTTTTCGATTTTGCAATCTCAGTTGGATCTTCTGTTTTCTGATTGAAATATGACAATATACTCCAATGAAATATTTACTATTTTTGGTTCATTTTTTATCAGCTAGCTGGTGGAGGTGCTCCTCAAAGCCTACCTGGTCTGCAGCACAAGGTTGAAGCTACTGCTGAAAACAATACTGAGAGCAACCATTCAAGTGATTATGCATCCTCTTCACAGAAAAATAAAGAAGGAAGCAAAGGAAGTGGGACTCAAGTGAGTATTGTAACATCTTGGTGTAATAATTGTAGATGCATAAGACTTCATCTAGATGTTATTATTATTTGAGGATTTTATAATTTTAGGGTAACATCCATGTTTGTGAGTTAAGGCTTCCAAGTCTTCTACTCATAAGTAGCTCCATATCAGTTGGGATTTATTCCATTTATATATGGGACCTTCATTGACTATTGTTTAGATGAGAAGTCTAGGATCAATGATCAAATGCACACACGAAGGCTACTTATAGCTTGAGGAAATTTTTTCCAGATTAGGTTGGTTCATAAGGTTTCACATAGAGATTGCATTGTTTGCACTCCTTGTGCAGAGCTCTTGTACAACACCTTACTTGGAAGCTGAGAGTACCTACATGCAAAATATGCAGGATCTTTCACAGATGAAGTGTGCAAGTATCAATTCCGGCAATGCAGCCATAGAGCAGCAAAAGAATGGCATCAAACTGGATGAAAAATCACTTATGCCTGAGAATCAAACTAAAGGTACGCCACTATCTTGTGTTTGCCTAATTTACATTTTCTCAAATTTCTTTTTTCTGTTATGATGTAATGAAGAAATACTCATTTTCATGGTGCTACTATCAGAGGGGACATTTTATGAGCTATTTGTTTCGGAGAAGTCAAATAGGTCAGGAGCTGAGGTTGCTCGTTGTAATGAAGCTTCTAAGCCAGATGCATTTAAAGTGGATGAAGACCGTCCTGTTGCTAAGGTGGTACCTCAGGCTCAGCATAAAAGTATTGGACGAGAAAGCAGTAGAGGAATTCCTAATGTTACTGTTAGCACTCATTGCCGTAATGAGGAACCATATGAACCGCTGACTAGAGCTATTGATTTGATTGGTTCATTTGATAATGGACCAAAGGGTACTGAACTTTTTAGATCAAATGACAGCAGAAGCAGGTCTGAAATTGCTCCACAGTTGGAACTTTCTCTGAGAAGATCCTCAGAAAGGCATGCCCTTAACCATTCAGATGCATCAGCCTTTTCATGGTAAATTTTTTCTTCCCTTATCCTGACTGCTGTACAATTATCCCTTGTTGACTGTTGTACGATTAACATGAATTGTTGAGGTTTAGGAAAATATGATGGCATGCATTTAAGAAAAATGCTTTATTGCAGACACAAGGAAGATGCTATGTTATCTTTTAAATTTTCTTTATTTCTTTTTTCTTTTCCCCATCTTTCGTTTTGGTTGTATTTTCTCTTTCCTCTCATATGAAGGGTGATGTTTCCCCAACAAAAATCCACTAGGCGTGTTTCAGGAATTAGAGATTAGGTAAACGTAAATCCTTGTTCACTGCTGTTGGAGGCAGTGGACAAGAAACCATGCTGGTGGTGGTTATGGGGTGGCATAGGTTAGTGATGTTATCAACCATATTTACAGTGGAAGGGCCATACTTTCAAAGTTTTTATAGAAGATCACTTAAAAGAGTTCTGTTTGAGCAACATCAATTACCTCATTGTGTTCTTCCCCTACCCCCTGCCCCACAGAAGAAAAAAACAACTGGACGTATTCTGGACTGGATGCTTAAACTGTAATCAATGCCTTGAATTTTAATTCAAAAATCTCCCTGAATAACTATTGTCAGCTTTTCCTATCATTGAAAAATTATTCCAAATGGAAAACAAAGCCTTAAAAGGTTCTCAGATAACCAACCTAACAATTCATTGTCCATAATTTTCTCTGAATTTTGGGTCTTTGTTGCCAGGCTGACTGTCATATGACTTGGTGGGTTATTTCAGTTTCTTTCTTCTGGGGGGCAATTTGAAGATTAATAAGTTCGGATCCACAACATTCCTAGATTATTATAGCAAGTTTGTCGAAATTTGAAGGAGATATGGTTCAGTGTGCATATTACGGCTTGAAATGTTATATTATCTCCAGTTTCTGATGATTTTTATGTTGCTTTATGTAGGTATAATAATGGTAAGACGATACAACCCCTATTTGCAACTCTAACTAGTAACTGCACTGGGTTGAAAGAGGGTGCAAATAAATCACCTGAACAATTGTCCAGTAATCTCCTGGAAAAACCCATGGATACTCCTCAAGCTCATGCTGCAGTTGGTCAGTGTGGACAATCTAAACTATTGTTTTCGAGTCCTCAATTTGGGGTTGTTCCTGTTCCAGGGGCTAAATTGGATAATGGGTGTGACGGATATGGTCATGGTTTCACACCTGTAGATCATACTCAATCTGGTTCACCCCCTTCAATGAGCCCCAAACTAGGTGGACGGCAAGATCCTTCTAGTTTTCCTGTGAGCACCTCAGTGCATTCAAATCCTGATATTCATGACTCAGAACAAGGTTACCATCAGTCTGATGAAACTGCCAATTGTGCTATTGACCAAAGTGTCTATGAGCTGAAAAATCAGGAATCTGTTGGGGAACCAAGGTCGAGCTCCCCTGCTGCTGGTCAGAGTGCTTGCAGTAGTTTATGTAATGGTGCCATGAATCATGAAAGCAGCAGTGCATATGGAGGTGTTTCCAGTAGGAGTGATGCAAGCTGCCACGATAAGGTTACTGCTATAGAGGGTGTCAACGGCAGCAATATCTACGTTCATGATGGAGTATCTAAAGGGATGGATTCTCATCGCTCCAGCCAAAGGGAAGCAGCTTTGACAAAGTTCCGACTGAAGCGGAAGGATCGATGCTTTGAGAAAAAGGTACGTTATTATTGTGACTATCTGGTGGTATGTTCACAAGTTTTTTTCTTATGGTACCATAAGCATGTGGTAGTATGGTTTGTTAGCAGACTGCATTCAACTAATTTACACCAGCATGTGGGTAGGGTTACTCCATCCACAGCCACTCATTAGCCAGTCTTATCACATTGGATACATCTGTCATTCTTTGGACATTTTTGCCACCTAAAGTGTTCTTATCTCATTAGTTCTTCCTATGGCCGTCCTGCTGACGCCAATGGTAAATTCAGCTATTTTGGAATGATCCCATGAACAGGATTTCATAGAACTATCACTTGTCAGCCCATAATGAGTTTAACACCCTGCAACTGTTCATACTAGTCACCAATATATAATCTTAACGAATAAGTTTTTGCACAGGTTCGATACCAAAGCCGAAAAAGACTAGCAGAACAGCGTCCCCGGGTGAGAGGACAATTTGTTCGTCAAGTGCAGAATGACACACTTTAGCTGGCGATGCTGATGGTTCTAAACCGTGATAAATGACAATCTGTTTATTTAATTTTCTGTTGTGAGCAGGTGTTAGAGAATTCCGTTAAGTCAGGTAGAAGTAGGAATGTAGGTTAGGTGCTTGTTTATTTGGTGTGGTCATGGGTTATATATGACATAATTTTTTGAATCCAACTGAAAGAGGTAGCATTGTAATTAAATAGTGAGGTAGCGTTTTTTATATATTGTTGATGATAGTATGTTTGATTAATGACTGACTGATTATAGGCATGTAGGCAGGCAGGTTGATTAATTGTAGTACCTTGTTTCAAAAACTTAAAACAGATCAATGCATTGCATTCTACTCCGCACCAAAGTTACTTCTCTGTTAGTCTGCTATAGAGTGAAGAATTTCAGGGTGTGAGTCCTAGTGGCGTAACAAAATGCCAGGGTTTTCACATGATGGTGTGGGATGGGATCCTGAGCATTAGCAAAAGTAGCCCTCGAGATCTGACAAGGCAACAGCCAATCGTGGGCAAGCATGTAGAAGGGGCAAAACACAGCCACGTACTTTGTCATGCAACCAACCATGTTGGTAGAGAGCTAAGAGCTTATCCAAATATCGGTGGTAGGCACTGCCTCTGCTAATTTTTAAGAAGCTGGATTCAGTTTCATGTCTTCTAAGGGTTCCCCATATCTGGCTCCCAAAGTTAGAACAGAGGAAAGAAAATAAAGAGATTTTGTCCTTTGCGAGGTGGAACTAGGGGTCTAGGACTCAGTTGTAAGTTATAGTTTATTTTTCATTTTATTTTTTAAACAAGAGATCATAAGTTTTCTATTTTTCTTCTTTGTTTTTTTTTTTTTTTTTTTTTTTTTTTTTTTTTTTTTTT